GTAACGATATTTAGCTATAATGATTGTGTAGGCCCACAGGGTGTCACTGTGGGCTGGTATATGTTTGAATAGCAAGGTACGCGAAAAAGCCCATGTTAGTGTGTTGTTGAAGCAGTGCTCCGAATGGATGTTCAAATAAAACCCTTCACGAAGTCACAAATGAAAGTCTCTGTGAGCTTCATGACATGGTGTCAGAAGTGGGATGTCCTAGCAGCTTGAGAGAAGACGGACCTTTGGAACAGTGACATGGCGAAGTTTCATGCACCTGAGTCGTTCGACTTCACCCCGCCTTCGGCGTGGCCGGGCTGGAAGCAGCGCTGTTCTCGATATCGGATTGCTACGAAGCTCGACCAAGAGAGCGGGGAAGTACAAGTAAATACTCTCTTATATGCTATGGGACAAGATGCAGAGCCCATATTCAGCACGTTTACATTCCCAGAAGAGGAAGATGAAGATTATGACTATTATGAAACAGTGGTAGGGAAGTTTGAGGAACACTTTGTGCCCAAGAGGAATACCATACACGAGCGTGCATGTTTCCACAAATACTCTCAGCAAAAGGGTGAGAGTGTGGAGGCATTTGTGAGACATCTTTATGAACTAGCACAACATTGTGAGTTTGGAACTACAAAGGACGAGCAGATAAGAGATCGTATTGTCATCGGGATCGCGGACATTGAAGTGTCGCAGAAATTACAATTGGAGCCAGACTTAACGCTGGAAAAAGCCATCAGTGTGGCTCCACAGTCTGAACTCATCAAAGTGCAAAATGCTCATGATCGACCTACTGAAAATGAAGTAAGTGTCGTTACACACAAATTCAGGAAATACAAACCATTTGGAAAGAGGCATGCTAGAGACACAAATGACCCACAGTACAAAGTAGCAGATAAGTCAGCTAAAGGGAAAAACTGTACTAGATGTGGCAGAACACATGACTATGGGGCCTGTCCTGCTACAGGGAAACGCTGTCGAAAATGCAACAAGATGGGTCACTTTGAAATAATGTGCAGAACTAAAAACGTGGGAGCAGTAAGAACTAAAGATACAGACAGTGATGAAGGCAGTGAATGGTTCTTAGGAACCGTTACAGGAGAAGACAATAACAATGACAAGTGGTTCCAAGATCTGCATATCAATGGGACAAATGTGATATTTAGAATCGACACTGGGGCTGACATTACAGTAATGTCAGAACATACTTATCGATGCTTGCCACGGCGCCCTGTTTTGAAAAATACTAAAGCAGTCTTCACAAGTCGTGGAGGAGAATTGAGTTGCAAGGCAAATTTCTGACAGATTGTGAGAGACAAGGAAATATGTACTCACTTTGGATTTATGTAATGAGAGGTCCATACACTACAAACCTATTGGGAAGAGAAATGGCTATGAAAATGGGACTTGTAC